GGAGGGAGGGAGGCGAAAGAAGCCTGCCAGGGAAGGAGCTCATGGAAAGGGAAGACGCGCTAGGCTCCGGCTGCGAACTGCGCCGCTTCTCTCGCCATCCCATGGAAGGTCAGTTCGCGTCGGCAGCCCTTCCATACCCGCAGGCGGGGGCAGGGGGAGGGAGGGAGAGGAAACCTCCGCCGGCCCGGTGAAAGATCGCGCAAGCCGGGAGGAAACTTATCCCTGGCGGAAAGTGCCTCTTTCGGGTCCCAGTCGGGGAAGAATGGAGGAACTGGGCTTGGGGGCAGGCGGAGGGACAAAAAACGTTTGGCAATGTGGTCCGGTTTGTCAGAAGGATGATGGGATGTCCCAGGGGATCATGAATCCCAAGTGGATTAAAGTGATTAAAGAAATGTACTTGGTCCATGCTCAGAGGCACTATTTTGTCACAGTTTCAGGGTTGAGTGCTGAGGCTGCGAATAAGCAGGAGTGCAATATTGAATTGATTCTAATGAATCTGTCAGGGTAACCGAATGGAGATATTTTAATCAAATGAAAAGATATCCTGTTAATCAGATGATTTCCCATTTTTCCTAAAAGAAGAGTTAATTATTTGTTATTTGTTTAATTAATGCATTTATTTGGATGAAGGGAATGGTATACCACTTTTGCATACTTTGTACCTCAAAAGTCCTGGAAAAGTTTGATGGCACATTTTTAATTATTTAGATTTAGTTACTGACAGTGAACCTAGACAGCATCTTAAAAAGCAGAGACATCACCTTGAGGACAGAAGTCCACATAGTCAAAGCTATGGTTTTTCCAGTAGTGATGTATGGAAGTGAGAGCTGGACCATAAACAAGGTTGACTGCTGAAGAATTGATGCTTTTGAATTGTGGTGCTGGAGGAGGCTCCTGGACTGCAAGGAGATCAGACCTATCCATTCTGAAATCAACCCTGAGTGTTCACTGGAAGGACAGATCCTGAAGCTGAGGCTTCAATACTTTGGCCATCCCATGAGAAGAGAAGACTCCCTGGAAAAGACCCTGATGCTGGGAAAGTATGAAGGCAAGAGGAGAAGGGGAAGACAGAGGACGAAATGGATGGACAGTATCATCCAAGCTACCAACATGAATTGGACCAAACTCCGGGAGGCAGTGGAAGACAGGAGGGCCTGGCGTGCTCTGGTCTATGGGGGTCACGAAGAGTCGGACGTGACTTAATGACTAAACAACAACAACTGACAGTGAAAACCACGTTTAAATATGCAGATGCTTTGCGTTCCATCTTTCCCCCTCTTTTGGTCTCTACTTACCACTGGAATGCAGACTTCCCCAAACTTCTCTGACACTGAATTTGGAAAATGTTCTAGAGCTAAGTTCCAATATATACAAAGGTCTAAGACTTCCAATATGCACAGAGGTTATATGGATGCAAAGCAAAATGGACCCTGTCTTGTCTTCTGTTTCAGTCGGGCGTGATACTAGTATATTTAAAAAAAAGTAATTGGCATGAAGGACTTAATTTTGTAGGAAGTATTGCTGTATATTATCAAACATCTGGCATAATGCTGAGTGGAAAACGAATTGAGAGTTATTTCTTTGCCTTTTCCCTCTGTGTGTTTGGAACATAACTGTTGCTTGCAGAGTAGTTTGGTGGCAGGGTGTAGTCATTGGTTATATCTAGGGTGGAGAACATGTGGCCCTCCCCAGGTTATTTAACTGCAACTTCCATCAGCCCCATCTGTGTGACAAAACCAAGTTCAGATTCTCCTCATTTATGGTGCTCAGCAAATGAACACGGATGTGTGCTGATCCCTGCAATCTCTTCAAATGTGAGAAACCTATCTGCATTATCTGTGCTCTCTCTGTCTCCCTTACTTTGCAGGTTTGTTATAAGGCTATTCAGAGCTCCTTGGAGGAAAAGTAGGAAACAGAGGCAAAAAATATACAAGAGCATATTCTAAGGCAGTGGTTGCTAACCTTGGGTCCCCATCTGGGGATGTTCTTGGATTAAAACTCCCACAAGCCTTCACCACTAGTTGTGCTGGCCAGGATTTCTGGGATGTAGTCCAAGAACACATGGGGACCCAAAGTTAGCAACCACTCTTCCAAGACGACATTATTTTCCTGAGCCAAATGAGTGGTCCATCTTCCAAGACAACTTTATTTTCCTGAGCCAAATGAGTGGTCCATATAATCTACCCCTGTTTAATCTCACTGGCTTGTAGAACCTTGCTAGAGAGATCTTCTTCACTCCCCTTCATTTTCAGAGAAGGATACCAGGAATGAAACCCAGGACATTTTATATGCAAAGCACATGGTGTGCCGATTAATTGTATGTGACCCACGTAGATGCTTCCTCTGGGAAGTCTTTGTCAGAAGGCTTAGTAGTTTACTGAGTAAAAACTAAAAAGAAAAAGAAAGAAACATAACATAGGGTAGGGTTCAAAAACCCATGGCCCTCCAAATGTGTGTTAGACATCAGCTTTCATCAGCTCTAGCCAGATGAGGGATGATGGGAATTGTAGTCAAGCAACATTTGAATGGCCACACATTTGCCAGTCTTCCTGATGAAAGGGTCACACATGCATCTAAATGGACTGAAGTGCATGCAGAATTCATGGGATCAGCCCCTGCTCTGCCTGCCTTCCAGAAACGAGATATGTTTGAGCTGCTCTACATACTCCTCTCCCTATGAATCTAATGCAAAAGTTAGGTATCTCTTACAGAAAAGAAAGACTAGAAAGAAGAAAAAGTACCCCCCACACCAGCTGACAAGATCTCACATTAAAGAATTACCAGATGATTCTTTAATATGAGATCTTAATAAGAATAAAAGTATGCAAAACAACCTTGGACAAATGTGACTGCTCATTCAGAATTTTATATTTGAATATGATGCAACTCAAGTGTCTAGGACACATGATAACATAAAAAAAGAGGAAGCACAGATACATTTAGTACCCATTTTACAAAATGCTGGCAAATCAGTATTTTTAATTGCAGTCACTAAGAATGCATTAGTAGCAACACATTCTGCCTCTCTTAGCTACCCATATCTTTGCTGCCCATCTTGTCATGTTCAAAATCATAAAATGGAACAGAAAGTCCACTGACTGCTTAAATGTAAATAGTGTAGCATGTATTTTTTTTTTCATTGCTAGTATTCTGTGCATTATACTGTGCTAAACAGCGATCTTCTTTTTGACAGCTAGTGTATGTGTGATAAAGAAAAATCTGAGGTTTTTCGGATACACAGTCAATCTAAATGTTTTATACAGCAAGAGGTGGGACTTCTTTGTGGGCGGGGGTCATGTGCAAGATGAACTTTGGACTTCTATCTAGTACAAAACTGTCTTTTTAGTTAGGAACTAGAGATGGGCAAGAAATGCCAGCTTGGTGGTTTGTCCTTGGGACCAACAGGTGTTTGGCAGTTCCCAGCCCCCTTCCTCCAGCGGGTGCCCACTCTGAGGCTGTGCCCAGCTTCCCTATGCTGCCTCTAAGTGGGCACCTTCTTTCTTTCTTTCTTTCTTTCTTCAGCGGGTGCCCACTCTGAGGCAGTGCCCAGCTTCCCTATGTTGCCTCTGAGTGGGCACCTCCTTCCTTCCTTCCTTCCTTCCTTCCTTCCTTCCTTCCTTCCTTCCTTCCGTCCGTCCGTCCGTCCGTCCATCCGTCCGTCCGTCCGTCCGTATTCATAGCAGGTGCAGTTCTCTGTCCTATTACTACATTTAATGCAATTAATTATTAACTACCGTCCAGACAGAGGAGGCTGGAGTGATCTGCCGTAATCTATTTTATCTCCCATTTGAGTGATCCTTCCATTCACACTGATTGACTTTTTTCCTCACATGAGATGGGTCCAGACAGGTCTTGGAATCACTCCAATTCGTTTCCCTTTCAATTAATGACACTCCTCTTCCTGCCCCCTTCCCCACTTTTTCCCATGACTGTCATTCAGAAGGCTGTGTGTTAAATAAAGCAAGTGACACAGCAAAACAGCAATGCATCTACCTACCATGGCATAGACAATATTACCAATGTATCTTGTTTATCTGGAATAGTACTGCATCAATAGGAAAAAAATATATAACATTCAAACAGTGGCAGAGTAGATGAAAACTGGGGGGTGTTCTCCATTGTCTTTGAAGGCCACAACTCACCAAATAAATCACAGGGTCAGATAATGATGCCCACAGCTCTATTTTGGTGCGAATTAACTATCTACATGGGCTACAGAATTAGATAATTAGGAGCAGTGTGAATCACACCAAAAAAGCTAGGCCTTAGCGCTGTGCAAAAAAGGAGCGGGACAGCTCTGAAAAGAGTCACCCTAAGTCAAAACATGTATGGATGCCGTAAATGGATGTGAACCAAACAACATTAAAAAGGAATCCAAATAGTCAGCTATATGCCTATCTGGATTCTGTGTATGCTTACCCTGAAGTAAATCCTACAGTGGTTTTACTTCTCCACTGAAATCTACAATCCTATGCATACTAACCTACTTCCTGAACCCAGTGAGTCATATTTCAAGCCACACATGCTTAAGATCAAGCTGCACCTTATTTTAAATTAATGAACTCTAGCCTGTTAACAGACTTAGCATATTTTGGTTGCTGCTACAGGTAAAACACTAAATAATTCACATGCCTTGTGCAAGAGATAGGGATAAGAGAACCAGGAAGAAGGTTGAACATGCTCTTAGCATCACCTTCCGTAAGATCAACAGAATATATACACAGAATGGCCTGGGAAAAGGGCTCTCCCCATAGCTGTCCTATATTTGCATAAAGACTCTATCCGTGCTTTGGATTGCACAAGGATAAGAAACAGAAAAGACACTGATCTGGTAAAATGTTGAAAAAAAAAGTGCTAGAGCCAAATAAGGATTTTAAGGAAAAGGATGGTTTAAAATAAAAGTAAATTCTAACTCAAATACAAGAAGGTTATAGAGGTTTAGTATTAGGATCAAGTATTTTCTGGCAGCAAAAACCCTTTTTGCTGGCAAAATTATCTTCTTTCAGCAGATCTCAGAGATCAGCTAAAAATAGGGATCTGCCAGGAGAATGGCTTTGTTGATTAAGATCTGCTGGCAGAACAGCCAAATGCAAGGAGGAGTGTATTGCTACATTATGCAAACCCCGAATCTTGTCCTGCCCATAGCCACAATGTCAGGACAAAATAAGGAGTGGGCAGCTGCATCTAAATACTTTCTACCACCCCCTAGGCTGGCATAAATTTGGATTTAGCAAAGTTTCTGCTAACCTAATGTTGGCTCTTCTGACCCTTGGGCATGTCAGGTGGTTAGGATGGCACTGTTTTAGTTCCTGCTTTTAGACAGATACAGTATCTTCAAATGAACTGAAACTCTTGCGTGAAAACAGGAACTCTGCTATAGAAATGTATTTGTTTATGGAAAATGTTTCCCTTGCTTAGTTCTAAAAATAGTGCTTTCTGTCAGTGAACTATGGGAAGGGGGGGAGGTGATGGCTAGTGTGAATTAATTTTTCTCCAGTGTGTATGAATCTGCCATTCTGTGCTGTGTTTGGCTTGATTTGACTAGCTCTTGGATGTGTGTGTGTGTGTGTACGCATGCGCGTGCGTGCGTGTGCGTGTGCGTGTGCGTGTGTGTACGGGTCTGGGTCTGGCACATATGGGCACTGATCTCTGCTTCCTCTTTCTTTAGATACTCTTTAGATATGCTCATAACCGCATTCTGACATGTTGTCTTAGTCATTCCAAGACTGCTAGTGTCTTTTCTGGTTTTGCCCATGGTTTATACATTCCAGCAATGGAAACTCCTGAAGTGGTTGCAAGCAGCTGCAGTTCTCATGAGGATGAAAGCCGTTATAGCTACAAGCAGCGTCCTTCAGTGTGTCAGGAGCTGCTTCTTGAAGATCAGCTGAGAAGGAAACTTAAATTTTTCTTTATGAACCCTTGTGAAAAGTTCTGGGCTCGAGGGAGGAAGCCTTGGAAACTTGGGATACAACTTCTGAAAATTGTCATGGTGACTATCCAGGTGAGATGGAGGAATTCTCTATATATTTAAATGTCATTTTTGCACAATGTTATTTGAACATTGCTTCAAGAATGTATTGGCCCTGAGCTTGAAATAATTCATGTAGAGTGCAGTCCTAACTAGCCAAGAAAACTGGAGGTCAGCTGACACAACATTAGGCCAATGGAAGTTGAGTTGAATCTGAACCTTTCCCAGATTAGAAATATTGGTAATTCCTTGGGACTACCATCAGACAGATTTTGTGCTGGCACAATGGCTATGTCCTAAGCTGCAGAAGGTTTGGATATGCCACAACTCAGCTGATCCCTCGCTCCTCTCCTTCTTGACCCCTTTTTGGTTCTGTCGACACATCTTAAGTCAGTGGAACAGTTCACTGGCAGATTCTTCTGTCAGCAGAAGTGTGAGAAGGGGTTCTGTGGCCACGACAGGTCTGCAGATGTAAGAAGGTTTCTGATGACATAAGATTTCTGGTGGCTTGTTCTCAAACTACTACAGCCAGGACATCTTTGAGTTAAGGTTGCACTGCTGGAAACAGTTTGTGAAATAAATATCCAGACCTCCTTTGGGTGTTGTATGAAAGCTTCAAACTCTGAAACCTAAAAAGTAAAGGGGAAATTACCTCTTTATATTTATACCCAAAAATGATTTTTTTTCCAGATAAGAGGGATCAGATCTTGTGGTCAAACACAATGGTTGTATAGCCATTATGCTGTCTTCTGTTTTGGGGATGCTAGAAAAAAGGAATACAATCTTCCCCATCCTGGCATCCTTTGGATTTATTATACTCCAGTTCCCCTCAGCCCCAGCCAGCAGTCAATCTGTACTGACATGTAGTCTGTTGTTTTCCATTTTGAAGATAGAACCAGGGAAAATGTCAATTTCTCTTATTCTGTTTCAAAGCTCAAGGCAGGGAGGATGGGATCAGTCACTGCTCCTGCAAGTTGTCAGCTACTGTATTGGCCAAGAGATTCTGGAATTTGTACTACAAAAAAAGCAGCACATCCTTCTTCTGCTGTGTCTACACACGCTGGCACTGGCATTAAGTTCTGATCAAACCATCTAATAGTCCTAGCCATATTTGCCCATGTTCAGTCCACTGTTGGGGAGTATAATATTAACTTTTAAACTGCTAATTTTGTCTGAAGCTAAAAACCAACTTTGAATTCTTTCTTTCTATCTTGTGAATTCCAGCTGGTGTTTTTTGGGTTAAGCAATCAAATGGTGGTCACATTTAAAGAAGAAAATACAATTGCCTTTAAACATCTTTTTCTGAAAGGCTATATGGATCGAATGGATGATACCTATGCAGTGTATACGCAAACAGATGTCTATGACCAGATCAACTTTGCAATAAAGCAGGTATCAATTTTTATTGCTATAATACATGAAATGATCTTCCACAGAACAATATTCTCCAGTGAACATAGTATTTGACCCAATGTCATCCAGTGAGCTTTACTTGGTTTCTCAGTTCCTAAGTTCACTATGCCAGTAGTTCGTAACCTTGATTAACCCAGCTATTGTTGTTGTTGTTTAGTCATTAAGTCATGTCCAACTCTTCGTGACCTCATGGACCAGAGCACGGCAGGCCCTCCTGTCTTCCACTGCCTCCCGGAGTTGGGTCAAATTCATGCTGGTAGCTTTGATGACACTGTCCAACCATCTTAACCTCTGCTGTCCCCTTCTCCTCTTGCCTTCACTCTTTCCTAACATCAGGGTCTTTTCCAGGGAGTCTTGTCTTCTCATGAGATGGCCAAAGTATTGGAGCCTCAGCTTCAGGATCTGTCCTTCCAGTGACCACTCAGGGTTGATTTCCTTTAGAACTGATAGGTTTGTTCTCCTTGCAGTCCAGGGGACTCTCAAGAGCCTCCTCCAGCACCACAATTCAAAGGCATCAATTCTTCGGTGGCCAGCTTTCTTTATGGTCCAGCTCTCGCTTCCATACATCACTTCGGGAAAAACCATAGCTTTGACTATGCAGACTTTTGTCGGCAAGGTGATGTATCTACTTTTTAAGATGCTATCTAGGTTTGTCATCACTTTCTTCCCAAGAAGCAGCCACCAATTTCGTGGTTGGTGTCACAATCTGCAGTGATCATGGAGCCCAAGAAAGTAAAATCTGTCACTGGCTCCATATCTTCCCCTTCTATTTGCCAGGAGGTGATGGGACCAGTGGCCATGATCTTGTTTTTTTTATGTTGAGCTTCAGACAATTTTTGTGCTCTCCTCTTTCACCCTCATTAAGAGGGTCTTTAATTCCTCCTCCCTTTCTGCTATCAGAGTGGTATCATCTGCATATCTGAGGTTGTTGAGCCTCCATCTATAGTTCTTCAGGCACTCTGTCCACCAAATCTAGTTCCTTAAATCTGTTCTTCACTTTCACTGTGTATTCATAAGGGATTTGGTTTAGATTATACCTGACTAGCCCAGTGGTTTTTCCTCCTTTCTTCAGTTTAAGCTTGAATTTTGGTATAAGAAGCTGATGATTAGAGCCACAATCGGCTCCAGGTCTTGTTTCTGCTGACTGTAGAGATGTTCTCCATCTTTGGCTGCAGAGAACATAATCAATCTGATTTTGGTATTGCCCATCTGGTGATGTCCACGTGTAGAGTCACCCCTTGTGTTGTTGGAAAAAGAGTGTTTGTGATGACCAGCTTGTTCTCTTGACAAAACTCTATTAGCCTTTGTCCTTCTTCATTGTGAATTCCAAGGCCAAACTTACCTGTTGTTCCTTTTATCTCTTGACTCCCTACTTTAGCATTCCGGTCCCCTATAATGACAAGAACATCTTTCTTTGGTGTTAGGTCTAGAAGGTGTTGTAAGTCTTCATAGGATTGGTCAATTCAGCCTCTTCAGCATTGCTGGTTGGTGCATAAACTTGGATTAGTGTGATGTTGAAAGGTCTGCCTTGGATTCGTATTGAAATAATTCTATCATTTTTGAGCTACGTATTACTGGACTGCAATTCTCAGAAGCCTTCACCACCCTGAGAACTGCAGTCCAAGAACACCCGGGTTACCTAAGGTTAGGAACCACTGTACTATATCATACTCACACTGTATGGAGTTATTCTGTACATAATCATATAATAAAACCAGTCAATAACTCAATGAAAATAAGCCAAAATATATGATCTTTCGTTGGCATTATGCTATAGATTGCCTTCTTTGATAATATTCCCCACCTACCCGGCATGATGCGTAGGAATGGAAATGTTTAGGTCTTCACTTGGTACCTGCCCTTCTTCAATTAAATAAAGTCACAAGTTCAAATTTTATACATATACCTTCCCTCTATAGTGATTGCTGCTGATCAGTGTGCTGTAAACACAGCATCAGTTACATGGTCCAAGTTGCTTCCTCCCTTATCTTTAGTAAGAGCAAAGGAGAATTGGGTTTGTGTTATGGAGCTTCCTCTGAAAAAAATATTCTGTTCCTGTCCTAAATGATTATGGGAAGTTGACAAATTGTGGGTTGCCAAATATTTCACAGACTTTGTCCATATGAATAAAATTCAAATGTAACCATGAAAGCAAATCTAAATCATTCTAGAGAGAAACAGTAAGCATTGATCAGTTGGATGACTTGTTGGCAGATGATGATGGTTGTCATCCTTGCTCTTGATTCTTTTCCTGTAAAACATTCAAGTAATTTCCAAAGTAATTTTGAAAAATGTCAAAGGAATAAATAAAAGAGAAACAATGGTAAAATGAAAGTCACAAGAAAATAATACTATAGTATATAATGATGAAAGCAGCTGATCTAAAATTGTACACTAAAAAAACTGTTAAACAAATCGTTTACAAACACACTTCAAAACCATAAAAGGAAGAGACCATCAAACCTCCAAAATGTGAATCTTCCGTACTTTCGACACTACTATTGAGAAGGCCCTGTCTCTCAAACATGTCTATCCTTTTATATCAAGGGAATGGACACTTGAGTCCCCAGTCTTTACCTTAATTGTCAACAAAGTCCACATAGGTTAATTACCAAGTGTCATTTTCCACTTAGTATTTACAGCTGCACACCATATCTGTTGGAAATCATGCTTATGAAAAAAGAGAAGCTGAAGAGACACCTATGGCAATATGCCAATACTTCTACAAACGAGGAATCATCTGTCCTGGGAATGACACATTTGATATTGACCCAGAAATCGAAACTGGTGAGATACTCTTAACTACTTGAATTATTTTGTGTGGTTGTGTGCATGTTTTTCAGAGAGAGAAAGAGAGAGACTATAAAAGTGTTGCTTAAAAAAAGATTATTTTACAGTAGGAATTGTTCTCTTTCTCAAGAAGTTTAAGTAGATGCCATGTTTTGCAGTGTAACCATAGAGTATGAGATGCAGAATCCACTGCTTCCTCACAGATTAGATGCTCATTTCTGAAAGAAATGCAGGGACATGCCTCCAGTTACATTGATGTAATCAGGAACTGGTGATTCACATTGCAAGATGGACTCCAACCATTAGTGTTATCCTATGCTTCTGGAACTATCCTAAGAGCAGTCATAAATTCCATGAATTAGTACTAGGTGTTGAGATGCAGGCTCATTCATAGAGGCTTCAGTGTGGCAGGATAGGGCACCTCGAACCCTCCAGATGATGTTGGACAACCATTGGCTGTGTTGATTAGGGTAGATGGAAGTTGCAGTCCAAGAATATCTGGAAGGCGATGTGTTTTCCATCTGTGCAGTGTGGTAGTTGCAAGGCACTGAAATGCTTAAGTACTTCTCAGTTACTGTACATATGACTTGTGAACAAATGAGCATTTGCACCTGCACATTTGAGATCAAAGGCAGACATTGAATTATGTAAATAAAAATGGGCTAAAATGTTTAGGTATTTGACAGACATAAAATGACACATGAAAGGTCAAAATGTTTTTCTCCTGTTATAGTTATGTCTGCAGTTATATGCTCAATGGCACTGGTTCTTAACCTTGGGTTACGTATGTCTGCAATTATATGCTCAATGGCAGTAAAAGTGATATTGAGCACACATAGAAGCAGTTGCTTATACTACGGTAGGACCCCCTTATTCGAGGGATCAGTATCCATGGAATCAGTATCTGCTGATTCACCTATCCACAGTCTGAAAATACAGGGATACCTTGCTAAACGATGACCCCGCTAAATGACGAATCTGCAGATCAGTATCTGCTATCCACAGTCTGAAAATACAGGGGTACCTTGCTAAATGATGACCCCGCTAAATGACGAATCTGCATGACGCTGACTTTTTGTGATCACTATAGCGATTCGCAAAACAGTCATTCCAATGGGGGATTTTCGCTGTACATCGATTAGGTCCGTGCTTCACAAACCGTTTGTTCGCAAGACGATTTTTTTTGGCTCCGCAAATACATCGATTAGGTCCGTGCTTCGCAAACTGTTTGTTCACAAGATGATTTTTTTTGGCTCCGCAAAATGGCTGCCCTGTCTTTTCCAGACCCATGCCTCGCAGGGCAGCCATTTTTACAGCTGATCGGTGCTCACAAAATGGCTTCCCTATGGGTGATCTTCACTGGACGACGAGGTATTTTCCCCATTGGAATGCATTAAACCAGGTCTCAATGCATGCCAATGGGGAAATGGTTTTTGCATGACGATGATTTTGCTAAACAGCGATTTTCCCGGGACGGATTATCATCATCATGCGGGGCACCACTGTACTTAAAACATTAAAAGAAAAATCCTAGAAATATTTATTTCTAAAGATGAAGTTGCTGGATCTCGCCACTAGAGGGAGCTAGAGGCCATGCTATGTATAATGTTCGTTATTAAAATAGTGTTTGCTATAATCTGCATTTTTCAGCACCTGCAGGAGGACTTGGAACCGATCCCCTGTGGGGATCTATATGGGGGTTCTACTGTACTTAGTACTCCTGTGTTTCTTGGAGACCAAAAGTGGCCAGCTTCTGTATTTTGAAGGATCTGTTCTCTAGCCAGGATTAGGGGACACCCATACAGATGGTGATATCATAATCCTGTTCTAAGGTCTTTGTATGAAAATGCTCAACACAGATTCTTGTGTTCTTTTGTCATCTTCCCTTTACAGAATGCATTTATGTGGAACCGGTGCTGCCTTTGGAAAATAGAACAGTGGGGAGGAATCTTTTCAACTTTACTCTAGATTTCCACAGGTAAAGTGCAGTATCTGCTGCTTGTAGGTATGCATGCATATTTTTGTTGGCAGTGGTGGAATAAGATTCCAAACTGTCTTCTAGACTTGTGACTTTGGAGCTCACGTTCAAATTGAAGGCCATCAATCTTCAGACAGTTCGTCACCATGAACTCCCAGACTGCTATGATTTTACTTTGATGGTAAGTAGAAACCTGAGTTCAAAGGCTTCTCCTTCCTACTTAGCTGTAGAGCCGCAGTCGCAACTGAGTTTTTTTGTAATTACTTTTTCCTCTTCCTGTTCAATCCGGACAGATAGTCTTTGATAACAAAGCACATAGTGGAAGAATTAAAATAAGTCTAGACAATGATATTTCCATCGAGGAATGCAAAGACTGGCATGTTTCTGGATCACGTAAGTAAATACTTCTTTTAACATACTTGTTTGGATGTAAACTCAGGATTTTTATCAGGGTCATGAGGACAAATACATCTTTGCATCAAATATGTACAGAGTGGTCGCAAGACCAGATAGGCAGGATATAAGTAGAATAAACAAACAAACAAACAAACAAACAAACAAATAAAGTTGTTCCCTACTCCCTCATTAAAACTGCTCCAGTTGATAATTAAGTTTCTCTATGAATCCACACCAGTGGGTTAAGACAGCACCTACGCTGGTCTCTCGGAATCTTCTAGAGCTAAAGAGAAAAGTAACAAAGTTTAGGTTGCCCTGTATAGCGCATGCTTCTCCCGCTAACGGCTCAGTTCCATTTTTCCGCCCGCAGAGTTGGAACCTCTCGGTTAGAGCTGTGAGATATTACTCTTTTCTACGTGTTTTTGAAACTTGGACTGTTCTCTCGATATTCCTCACCGCTGTTGCCCTGACCTCGGACAGTCTTTTGACTTTTCTTCTGCCTCTGGCGATCCGCAAGTACTCTTAATAGCTTAATTGAAGCCTATTTACCACCCACTGAGGCGCCACGCGCCTGCCGGACTCTTTCAATTTGTGTCACTTCCCACTGTGATCAGCCTATGCCGCCTAGGAGGAAACCTTCCCCGAAGAGAGGACCTTTTCCACTCTGCTCCTCTTGCTCCAGGAAGCTCCCCTTCCAGGACGGGCATTCCCTTTGCCTTTTTTGTTTGGGAGAATCACATTCGGTCTCCCATTGCAAGCATTGCAAGGAGTTTACTAAGGTCACCCTCAAGGCTCGCCAGCAGCGCTTGAAGTATTCCTTTTGGAAACAGACTTTGTCTGCTTCTCAGCCCTCAGAAATGGAATCCCTTCCCTCAACATCTGTGGTCCGTTCTGAGGTTAGAGTGGTTCCACCTCCAATGTCAGAACCCTCTAAGGAAAAACCTAAAGATAAAGACAAACCTAAGAAAAAATCATCTGCAAATAAATCACTTACCAGCACTTCGAATCAGAATGTTTCCTCCAATGGGTCTTCTAATCCAGTGGTTCTTAACCTTGGGTTATTCAGGTGTTTTTGAATTGCAACTCCCAGAAACCCCAGCCAGCACAGCTGGTGGTGAAGGCTTCTGGGAGTTGCAGTCCAAAAACAGCTGAGTAACCCAAGGTTGAGAACCACTGTTCTAATCCACTGAAGCCTCAACATCTGAAACAGAAAAACCTAAACCGAAGTCGAAGGAGCTTACCTTGATCGTGCCTCCGGTTTCGACGTCTCTTCCATCTCCCATATTCGAAGATTCGTCCCGCGACCGGAAATGGCTGCCTCTCTCCCTCCCAGACAGGAACCCCCTGTCGTTGTCGAGAAATCACCGACGGCTAGCCAGCTAGTTCAAACAATTGCTGGTATAACCAATGCCCCTTATAGCCCTATTTTAATAGGGCGGGAGACTAGATCCCGATCGTCGACACCGGGATCTCTAGGCTTCTAGTCTCCACCTACTTCACTGCAGAGACCTGAAAAGCCTACCGAATTCTCTCTCCTCGGCACCTGAGGTCGGAGCAGGATGAGGAACTTCCACCGAAGAAGCTTTGACGCCATCGCAAATGTAAACATGCCTCCGGTGTCAATAGGTGTAAGAAGCATCGTCGTCAGGACGACTCTTCTTCAGATTCCGATGACAGCACTGACAGACGGAGGTCACACCATCAACGTTGAAGGAGGGACTATTCATCGGAGTCCTCCTCGACTTCGAGGGACCGGAGGAGGCGGAGAAAGAGGGCATGCTATACCTCTTTGTCCTCATCCTCCACTTCACCTCCAAGGAAGCATCAACACCGAAAGCACTCTGGTGTCACTAAGCATGCACTGTCAACGTCGACCGATAAAGGGGTCTCCACGTCAGCAGCCTCAAAGCCTGATCCTGTTACTGGACAATCTCAGACTACACATCCAACTGTTCCTCACAAATCCGCTGGGAGCAAGGATAAAGGTCAGCATCCTAGCATCCTCCAGACATCTGACGAGGATAGCCAAGCCCTCCAAAGTTCGTCTGACCAGGAGGAGAAAGTTACTTCTGAAGCCTCCTTAGAGACTCCCCTTCCAGGAGAACCCTTGGGGTCTGATGCAGCCGACATTCATCCATCTTCCCCATCTGAGGACTTTTCATCCTATTCCCAGATGGTGTCTAGAATGGCTACCACCTTGAGGCTAGAGATAGAAAAGTCACCAACCCGTGAGGATGACCTGATTTTTGGGGACATTAACGAAGAAAGGTCCCATCCCGTCAGTCTGTCGTATGTGCCTGAACTTTTAGACCTCATTATGGAGTATTGGGAGCATCCGGCAAACTCCACATCTATGTCACAGAGAACTGAGAATTTGTACCGCGTCCATGGTCCTAGGACTTCCTTCTTACTTAAGCATCCTGTGCCTAACTCACTCGTGGTCGAGTCTAGTGCAAGTAGGATTCCTACTAAGGGCCATCCAACTCCTACCAACAAAGAAGGAAAAGAACTAGAAGTGTTGGGCCAGAGACTTCACACCACGACAACCTTTGCCCTAAGGGCCCTTAACTATTTAGTGGCCATGGGTGCCTATCAAAAACAACTTTGGGCAAGAGTGTTACCAGCCCTCCAAGTTGCCCTGGAAGACATCAGGCAAATGTGTCTCAATGCACATGCAGAGGCATTAACTGTCTCTAAGCATCAGCGCTTAGCTTCTCGACACGTCGCAGACACCACTGCCAGGAACCTTGCCTCCATTATCACCTTAAGAAGGCATGCTTGGCTTAGATCTGCCAACATAGTGGATGATATTAAGGTCAGGATTAAGAACTTACTGTTTGACGCTTCTGGCCTCTTCAGTGAGAAAACGTATGAAAACCTTGAGAACCTGCATAAGAGTAAGAAGACGGCGAAGTCTTACTCTATTCAGCAACAACCTAGAACCTTTAAGTTTCAATGGCGCCCTAGGTTCCCTCAACAGACATACCAGCAATCCACCTCTTTGGCCTATTGCTCCTTCCGTACTCAGGTTCCTCCACGATCATCTCAGGCTTCATCGTCGACCTCCAGTTTTAAGCCTCAGTCTAACAAACGTCAGTGGTACAAGCCTTCTGGACGAAAGTCCAAACAATATCTTTGACTTTCCCAGAATCATCTCAGACACTCATCACACAACCCGCCTGTCTCCTTATCTTCACAATTGGCTCAGGATCACGGAGGACTCATGGATATTGAACATTATAAGCTCAGGCTACCGGCTGGAGTTTATAGAATTACCTCCTCTAGGATGGATCAACCCTACTTCGTTCGATCCCATCCTAGAAGAAGAGATTCTCACCCTTCTACAGAAACAGGCTATTCAAGAAGTGCCAGTGCGGGACGTAGCAAACAGATTACTTCACTGTGCCATACAAGGATGCAGGCATAAGGCCTATTCTAGACCTAAGAGAACTAAACACGTACCTTCATCCTCGATGCTTCCGGATGGTTACGCTAGAGTCCATTCTGGTTCGTAGTAATAGACCTCAAAGATGCTTACTTTCATGTCACCATTCACTCACATAACAGAAAATACCTCAGGTTCATTTTTCAAAACACGATATACCATTTCTGTGCCCTTCCGTTCGGGCTCTCAGCAGCTCCAAGAATGTTCATGAAGTGCATGGCACCAGTGGCAGCCTACCTTCATCTCTACGGAATAGATATTCCCTTACATCGACAACTGGTTGGTGGTGTCTCCATCCAAGCGAGGGGCTCTTCAAGAGACCAGATTCATCCTCCACATGCTGAATCACCTAGGACTATCAGTCAGCCACAAGAAATCCCACCTTCTACCGTCACAGGTGGTAGACTACATAGGAGGCAGAATAAATTCTCTCAAGCAAGAATTTTTCTACCCCCAGACCGTGTGACCAAAATCAAAAAGGCTGTTTGGAAATTTCGTCCATGCCGCTCAGTATCTGCAAGACATGCACAACATCTGCTGGGCTTAATGGCCTCTACGACATCAGCAGTGGCGCCCGCCCGCCTGAAAATGTGATCTCTCCAGGCGTGGTTTCTAACTCTTTTCAACTCCATTCACGATGCCCCACAAAAACAACTGCTCATTACAGCAGAACTGGCGAATCAACTACAATGGTGGACATGCTTAACAAATCTCCTGGTCGGTTGCCCCTTTCAACCACTGCAATTGAGAGTTCAAGTAACCACAGACGCGAGCCCCACAGGATGGGGAGCACACTGTGGACCCCACCAGATTCATCCATTGTGGTCCAGTCAAGAAAAACACTTGCATATCAGTCACCTGGAGATGCTTGCCGTCATGAAAGCGTTCAAGGCGTTCCTTCCTCTGGTACAGGGTTGTGGTGTACAGGTGATAACAGACAACACCATGATCATGTACTACATCAACAAGCAGGGAGGGACGTGCTCCATGTCACTGCTCTTTCTTGAAATACACCTGTGGGAATGGTGTCATCAACATCACATATTCCCAGTTGCGCTTCATGTCTTGACTACAGACAACCAGCTTGCAGACAGATTGAGCCATCTTGCAGCACAGATTCACAAATGAGAGTTAAACACAGATGTCTTCCATCTACTATGCACAAATAGGGCACTCCCATTGTAGACATGTTCGCCTACCAGGCCAATAAGAAATGCAAAAAGTATGCCTCCCATGTGGGAAGAGGCATAGACTCCCTAGGGAATGCCTTCATGATCCCATGGGAACAAGATCTCCTCTGCCTTTTCCCACCAATGCCACTTATCCAGAGGACACTAATCAGGGCTCGACAGCTGAAATCCGGTGCAATTTTCATTGCACTGTGCTGGCCTCGTCAGCCATTAGACATGTTCGCAACAATGGCCAACAGGAAATGCGCGAATTATGCCTCCCGTGCGGGAAGAGGAGAAGGATCTCTAGGGGATGCATTTATGATCCCGTGGAACAAGGGATTGCTCTATCTCTACCCACCAATACCTATTCTTCAGAGGGCCCTCGTCAGAACTCAGTGGAAGATTTCCCATTGCTCACAGAGGTCATTGACAAGGCAAGGAAACTAGCCATTAAACTGCTTTACAAATACAAGTGGCAAAGCTTTCTGAAGTTTGCTAAGGAAGACAAATTACAACCTTCACCTGTGGCCTTGTCTACTCTTCTCCTTTATCTTTGGCACCTCTTTGATTTCGGACTGTCCAAATCTACATTGAAAGTTTATACCTCAGCCATCGTTGCCTTCCAACCTCCTGGCTCTGAGTCATCCCAATGGTTTTCACACCCCACTTTAAAGGCCTTTTTTAGAGGTTTGTCCAACATGAGACCACCTTTGAAGAAACCAGTACCACAATGGTCATTACAGACTGTGCTACATTGCCTCACTAGACACCCCTTTGAGCCTGTGGCTTCGTGTGACCTTAAACTGCTCTCCTTTAAGACTCTATTCCTCATAGCCATCACCTCTGCTCGCAGAGCCAGTGAATTGGCAGCACTTCGTGCAGATTCTCCGTATCTCCAATTTTTTAAAGATAAGGTTGTTCTACACCCTGATGTCTCTTTTCTCCCTAAGGTGGTTTCCGAGTTCCACGTTAACCAACCCTTGATATTACCAACGTTGTTTCCTGATGCAGTTACAGATGTTGAGCGCATGCTCCATTCTTTGGAC